AATTCCTGTCCCTTCCCAGGGCCCATCAGGCACTGGCCCCGGGCACACCTGTGAGCTCCTACGTCTAGGATCTGGACTGTGTGGCCGTGACAGGAACGAGGTTACTTGCATGGATTTACATCATTCCGGATGTTGATGGAGGAACACGATGCAACATCTTTTTGTTTTTTTTCCCCCGGGGTTAAAAACAGCTTCCCTTGGAGGGGCCTCTGTATTACAGCGTTCCCTCCCTTTGAAGGTTCGACTTCGCCCTTGACCCTTGCATTGTTTTTTACAGCTCCGATTGCCCAATTTCCCCGCCGCTGGTGAGTAAGTGGCATGCTGTGTGCGGGCGGAACTGGGCCCACGGGGTGACGGGAGGGCCTGGCAGTTTCATCATCTGGAGACGCCCCCGCCTCTGCCCAGAGCAGCCGAGGGAACACTGCCGCTCAGGATGGTGGAGGCCCCTTTGTTCAGGGCTCCCAATGCCCTCCCACAGGCCAGGAGACTGAGGCCCAGGGAGGTGGTATGATGGGCCAGGACATGGAAATCCAAGGTGCCCCCCCCCCGGTGGACTCGCCAGGCAGGCGCCGTGTCTCCCCGACCTGCCCCCGTCCCCCCCGCCGCGTCCCACACACAGCGGGTGACACCTGTCCCCGCAGCTCCTGCAGCCAGGGGGCTGATGCGTGTGCGGTGTCAGGAAGGGACCGGCAGAAACGCTGGGCAAGGTCGGGGTCGCCTTGCCCAGGCCCGCCCCTGGGGTCGCACCGAGGGGTCACTCTACAGGTGGAGGACGTACCCCGGGAGGCAGGTGGGCGTCTCTCTGTGGTTGGGGCTCCCCAGGGCTGATGCTCTTTCTTGCCTAGTACATATAACACATTCCATACTTGGCACAGAAAGCTTCCCCTGTGCGCCCCCACACTACCTTTCCACCCTGCCCCCCAAATACACCCCTGATTGCCCTTGAGCTTGCAGTTGGCCGCCCTCCCTGACATCAGATGCTTGCAGGCTTCGATTCGGGCCAAGTGGGCTTCACCCCAGATGGTGGTGCGAAGCCTTACCCCGTGAGATCCTGGGAGGGTCCCCTGGCAAAGCTGGTGAGCACGGCGTGGTGCCAGGTGCATAAGGCAGGTCTGTGAAACCCCGGCTCCCCACCGCCCCCACCCCTGCTCTCCCTGCCCTGGGGCTCCTCCATCACTGGTCAAATGGGTGGGGGCGCCTATCGGTGTCCTCGGCAGGGTGCGGGGTGAGGGGGCCGTGAGCCCCGCGCTGCCCTCCCAGCCTGGCGGGAGACCCACAGGCAAGGGCAGGCCCCTTCAGCACGGCAGGCCCGGCGTGTCCCACGCTTCTGGGACACAGGGGAGCCCCTGGCGAGGCTCCTGAGAGCAGAGGACCTTCAGTGGGTCCCAAGGGCTGGCGAAGGGGCAGCAGGGAGTGTTTCAAATCCAGACCCATGCGGGGGAGATGGGGCCGAGCCGGGAAAGGGCCCGTGGAGACGGAGATGAAACCGTGCACCGCTTCCCCAGGGACGGGGCGCCGGCCTTGGCTGTCTCCCCTCCCACTGTGTCTGCTCGGCCCTGGCCCCGCGGGACCCTCCCTCCGGCAGCACCCCTCCCCGTCCCCGGGCCAGCTGCCCTTTCCTTCCCGCAGACGGACTGTTCTGCGTTCAGACCTCTGAGGGCAGGGCTGTAGCTCCGGAGTGACTGGCCCACCTCTGTCGCGGGGTCTGGCCTGCGGCTGGTGCCCAGCCTGCAGGGACATCGGCAGGATGGGCTTGGCACTGGTGTCTGGTCTGCAGGCCTGCCCCCTGGATTGTTCGCGAGCTCCCTTTTGACCACTGCACCCCTGGCCCCCCTAAATCCTCCCACGGTCGCCCAACAGTACCTACAGCTTCTCCCTCCTGTTCCCCCTACTGTCATTCCAGCGTCCAGGCAGGAGAACTCTGGGTCCTTCCCCCAACACACCGCCCCCTTCCCGGTTCCCTGCCTTACCCACTTGTCTGCCCTGCGGGGCCATCCTCTGCTGTTTGGGAGGCCCTTCTCCCCTCCGACACCTGCCTTGGCTGGCGGCTTCTGTGGGAAGCGCCCATGCGTGGCTCCATGCCCTGTGGCCTGCTGTTTGCCACCACACTCTGGACTCTCCAGGAAAGTGCTTATCTCCAGGACCAGCTCATAACTGGCCCCGGACGGGGCGTACCTCCTGCCCGGCGCCGCAGCCCGCACCACAGCCGGCCCCCATCCTCTGCATGTCCTCTGCTGCGGGAAGGACAGGGTGCGAGACCGAAGCTCGAGAACGTGCCCTGTGAGGGCCCTTCCTTCCCGAGGGGTGGCTGTTGGAGGGCGTCAGGGAGAGCCCGGGAAGAACGCGCTTGCAAGGTGGACGGCGGGATGGTGGCGTGGAGGGAGGTGGACCGGGGAGGGGCATGGAAATGCCGGCAGGAAGCACAGCAAGGAGGACATCAGGAGACGTGGCAGTGACTTTCTCTGGCGTGGGGTGGGGACACAAGGGCCGGACGCTGAGCAGGAGTCCGCAGGACTGGGGAGGCAGGAGCAGCTCTGACAGCGCAGCGCTCGAGTCAGGAGGGGCTCCCTGCAGCGCCCGGGAGGGGTGACTGGGCCTCTGACGGGGGTCACGGAAGTCGAGGCGCGGACTTGGGGGCGCGGCAGGCCGGGCGCCAGGGGCAGCAGGGCCCGGGACTCACGGGTGCATGCAGGAGCAGGCACCGCAGGGTGGACAGACAGGCAGGGCCCACAGAGGCCTCCAGGAGGAACTGCCCCGTTTGTGTTGTTGTGGCCGGGGAGGCGGAGATCTCTCTCTCTGGGGTTTGGTTTGTGGCTCCTGTGAGGCAAGCAGTGGAAACATTTGGGAAATCGATGTACACGGAGAGGAACTTCCATTACGTGCTGAACGAGGGAGACCTGGGGTGGGGGTGGGGGCCTCACCGGGCAAGTGCACAACAGGGTGAACTGTCCAGGGCTGGCACAGACCTGCACACAGTAGGCGGGCCCTGAATGTTTACCCAGTGATGCCCTCTTGTGTGTGTGTCATTAAGGGACCATCTCAGGTGGACACAGATCCTAAATGGAGGAAGTCAGAGGAAATTCAGAGCACAGATCCTTCTTTTGGAAACGAAATCATTTAGGAACCTACACCAAAAATAATGCTCAGCTAGTCGAAAGCCATGGTCAGCTCCTTAACCAGACACTGAACTTTACTCCATAAAAATAATGACAAACATGACCTTGAACTTCCAACTGCAATGATTTCCGCTGACCTTGTTTTGATCGTAGCTGGTGCTGTGGTCAGGGACGGAGCAGAGCAGAAACCCAAGCCACCGGCCCAGTGAGGCGGCTACAAATTCATGGTAAATTCATGGTAATGTGGTTTCTCTTGAGATGGATAATAGACAGGATAATAAAAGTTACGATCATACGAAATAATGTAGTATTTACTAGATACTGTAAATCCAGAAAGATGGAGGTGTGCACAGGGCAAAGCAGTCCCTCCCTCAGTCCCTGATGTCATGCCCCTCCCCACCAAGGAGGCCCTGACATCAGTGTCTTATGTATTCCTCCCAAGATAGTCCATAAATTTAGAATCACGCTGACATGTATGTTCCTATTACTTTTTTGTACACAAATTGCGTATTCTGTACCTCCTCGTTTTTTAAAAATGATTTTATTATTAGAGAGAGAGCGAGCAAGAGTGGGGAGGAGAGGGAGAAGAGGACTCCCCCGCTGAGCAGGAAGCCCAATGTGGGGCTCGATCCCAGGACCCCGAGATCGTGACCCGAGCTGAAGGCAGACGCTTCACCGACTGAGCCCCCCAGGCGCCCGTGTACCTCTTCATTTTACTTCACTTGGAAATAATACTTAGCTTGCAAAACTTCATACATCTTGGACGTTTTCTCTATCAGTAAGTGTGAGCTGCCTCCTTCTTGTGAATAGGTGCCTAGTTTCTGGGGACCAGGTGTCCACAAGAGCACCTGCAGGTGCGGGGACAAACGGACCCATTTCCCACGGCCTTTAAAGATACAAGGACATTTTTCTTGCAACCCCAGAGAATATCTAATAGGAATTTTCTCAAAAGGAAAAGACTCCTGATAAAAATTTGGTCTCATGGGGCGCCTGGGTGGCTCAGATGGTTGCACGTCTGACTCTTGGTTTTGGCTCAGGTCTGATCTCAGGGTCGTGAGATCGAGCCCCACGTCAGGCTCTGTGCTCAGTGGGGAGTTTGCTTGAGATTCGCTTCCTCTACCCCGCCCCCCAGCTCTCGCTCTCTCTAAAATAAATAAATCTTAAAGAAGTTTTTTTTTTTTTTGGTCTGAGACAGAAAGTTAGAGGAAGAAGCCTGGGGTCTGGGCTGCATTCTGCGGCCTTGGCCCTGTGTCTTCATGGGCCTTGAGCCCTGCTCTTCTCTGGAAGCCAGCGAGCAAGGTCAGCCTCTGGAGGCTGTGGTGACATTGGGGAGCTTGGCACCAGCCCTGGGAGGAGCTGTCCCTTTCCCTCCATCCTCCCTCCTGGGAAAGGCTGTGATGTGTGCAGGTCCGTGGGCTGGAGGCCTTCCGCCCGCAGAGGGAGAAGCAATTCAGGGCTTTGCCCCTGAAAACTGGCCAGGGGTCCCTCCCTTCCTCTCCCCGGGCCTCGGTTTCCCCGTTTGAATACTGGCCGCGAGGGCTGGCTTTGCCCAGCTGATCTCTGCGGAGGAGGAGCCCGCTGATGCTGGGCAGGGGATGCCGCTTGAGCAAAACAAGCGAGACCTGGCCGTGCGCTCCTGGTTAGAATTGCCCTTTGGCTCCAGGTGGGAGCCCTAGCAGGACAAACAGTCGGAAACCTGGACCGTAACCCTCCCTCCGCCCACCATTTGCGCAGGCTCTGGGATGCACGAGCAAAACAAACTTTTTCTTTTTTCTTTCCCCCCCAAACTTCTATTGAGCGCCAGCCACAAAGCACGCCGCGCCGTCAATCATTAACCGCGCGTTCAGCGGGGAGGGGAGCGCGGGCCGCACCCTTCATAAGGCGCGCGCGGCTCCCGGCGAGCATGGAGCGGCGGCCCCCTCGCCGGCACCCGCTACTCGGCCCCGCTCGCTCGCAAGCGCGCCCACTCCGCTCCCGCCCAGCCGGCGCCGACCCCGTCCGCCGCGCCTGCTCCACGATGCCCGAGGTCCCCGCAGCCCGCGCCTGGCCGCTCCTGCTCCTGCTGGCCATCCGGCTGGGCGCGACGGCGGGCGCCCCGCAGCCGTGGCACTGCGCGCCCTGCTCCGCCGAGAAGCTCGCGCTCTGCCCTGCCGTGCCCGACTCCTGCGCTGAGGCCGCCCCGCCCGCCAGCTGCGGCTGCTGCCCGACGTGCACCCTGCCCCCGGGCGCCGCCTGCGGGGTGGCCACTGCGCGCTGCGCCACCGGGCTCAGCTGCCGCGCGCCGCCGGAGACCCCGCGGCCGCTGCACGCCCTCATCCGCGGCCAAGGCGTCTGCGGGCCCACCGATCCCGAAGCAGGTAGGACCAGACCCGCCACGGGGTCGCTCGCCCCCCGCCCCACCCCAAGACAGATTGCGGGGCGGGGGGTGGGGGATGGACAGTGTGGAGCAAACCCACCCAAGTCCAGAGCTTGGAGGGGAAAGCATCACCTAGATGAGCCCCGTCGTTCATTCCATGGTCCTGCGGCAGGTGCCCAGGAGAGGGCCGGAGAGGCAGGAGGGCCTCGCACAACTTGGTGGGAGAGCTGGGGAGCAGGCCCAGACCTGGACAGCAGCCCACTAATGGGGGTGTAACCCAGTCCCCCGAGAGAGGAGGGAGGCCATGGGGGGCCGGCCCTCCTTTCTGCTGCTGAGTGGCCGCCCCCCATGGAGGGGGGGCTTGTCCGGAGCCTCTGGGAAGGCCTGGTTGGGGATCCCTCCCGCCCCAGGGCAAGCGTTTGGAATGTCCTTTGTAATGGACTCCCGTGGAGACAGCCCGAACTTGACAACTGTTTACAGAGCTCGTGTGAGCAGAGGCTATAAACTTCACTTGCATTCATTGCGATAGGAAAACAGCATTTGACGTGTGTGTTGCCCCTGAGGACTTGACAGTCAGATCTTTGCTGAAATTTGCGGGGATTTATTTGTAGTGGGAAGCAGAGGAAATGCCCCCACTCCCTACCTCCCCATCGGGCCGGTGGCTGCCCTGTCCTGTGTCATTCTTGGAAGAATCCCGTGGTTCCATGCCCTGGGAGGGGACCTGCCGGAGCGCGTGACCCTTGCAAGGAGGGACACAGTGTTCCTGCGGGGTCTCTGCCTTCAGAGTCAGTAAAATGGGGTCATCTCAATGGTCCTCAAAGGAGTTGGATCCCCGGGACCCCCTCAGGAAAGCCAGCTCTCTGTGACTCTGTCCACACACCGAATCCAAACGTGCACGTGGCTTCGCTCTCCTGCTACTTTAGAAGCAAAAACACAGGGTACCCTTGCAAGAACCCCCAGCTTACAAAATTGCCTGTTGGGTCGTCTGATTCCCCGGACATTGTCAGAAGCTCTGTTAGAGAGCAAGTGGGCATAACTCAGGGTCAGCATGACCACCCTTCTGCCCCAGCCTGGATTCTTGGGAGAGGAAGCCACTCCCAGGGGGGACAGGGGCGGAAGCTTGGGGAAGGCTCACGGGTCTGCGGTGCTGCCTTTTTCAGATGCCAAGGAGTCCTCGGAGAGCTCTGAGATCACCCAGGAGCAGCTGCTGGAGAACTTCCATCTGATGGCCCCGTCGGAGGAGGACATGCCCGTCCTCTGGAACGCAATCAGTAGTTACAAGACCATGCGAGCTGGGTATGCCTTGGACTCGGACTCCGACAAGTTGAAGGTGAGGCCCCGGGGCAGGTGCCAAGCAGACCCGGTGGGCTTCCCCGGGGCCCGAAGGCCTGGGAATGAATGCTTTCCTCCCCAAGGCCTGATGAATGGACGTTTCCCACCTCAGCTTTGTCCAGCTTTTCCCGCAGGGACTTCGAGGAGGAGAGCCTGTTGGGTGGAAAGCCAGCCCCTCTGCTGTGTGGCTTCAGATTTGTGTCTGTCATACCCCCCTAAAGCTCAGCCCGGGACTTTACACTGCTCCCCCAGGACCTCTGCTCCCTGCTTTCTAAAAATTGTGGTCAGATATGCATAACGTGACATTTATGATTTTAACCATTATACAGTATAGTTCTGTGGTATTGATTCTGCAAGCATCACCGCCATCCATCTCGAGAACTATTTTATCTTCCCCCCCTGAAACTGTCCCCACTAAACGCTAACTCCGCCGTCCCGCCCGATTCGACGGCTGTTTTTCATCCAACCACTTGAGGGCGGCTGGGAATCAAGCTGGAGGGATGGGCGGGTGTGTGAGGAAAAAGAGAGAAAATGGTCCCCACAAACACAAGCCCCCAGAAAAGTGGGGGTCTGACCCACTTCCCGGACACTTCAGGATTCTGTCTGCACATGGTGACCGATGGGGAAAAGTTCATTCTTATCTCCAAGTAGCCAGATGGATGCCTCGATCCTCGCTTGATCTAGCTTCTGTGAAGTAATGGCATAGAGGAAAGGGGTTCACAATCTCGAAGTCTCTGCTGCTGGAAGGGCTGGGTCCTCCTTCCCGTCAAATGGCTGGGGCGAATGAACACAGGGCAGAGGCAGAGGGGAGCACCTGGGAGATGGGGAGCTCCGGTCTCCCTGTAGGTGTTTAGCCAACGTTCAGGGAGGGTGGGTGTGCCCCCCCAAATCTCAACAACTCTCACATACACTAACCCCCTCCTCACCCCCAGGGCAGGTCTGACCCGCCCCCAGAGCCCCACAGAACTTCTCCCGCCAGTCCTGTTTAGGTGGACAATTCACTTTTCCTTGTCATTTATCGCAATGTCAAAATGTTCTTCTAGGAGCCTTGCCGGCGAGAGCTCCACAGGATACTTGGACAACTGGCCGAGGAACATCAGTCGCCCAGGCACCTTAACAATTTCTACCTGCCCAACTGCAACAAGAATGGATTCTATCACAGCAGACAGGTGTGCATCTTGCCCAGGGGCATCCTGGTGGGGACGGCCCCGGCTGGCACATCCCTGCAAAGCCACCCTTTCCTCCAGCAGGGCGTCCAATCCCAAATAGGCACCGTAAAGCCCCCAGCTGACCATATTAAGTAAGAGCCACCCCTCTGGGGCTAGGGGCAGGCAGCCCCTGGGAGCCTGAAGACCAGCTCGGTGGTCACGGCCAGTGGGGGACCCCGCACTGGGCCAGGGGCTCTGGCTCAAGTGTGACCCTGCCCCTCGGCAAGCCCGAGCAGGTGGGCGATAGGTCCCAGATCTGTTTCCCGTCTGTCCCACCAGAGGAAGGGGATAGCTCTTAGGAAAGCGAGTGTCTCCTTGGACTTCTGTCACTGCTCTCCTCCCCACAAAGGGAGACAACCGCTCAGTGAAACACAGTAGAGTTTTCCAGCTTACCAGATAATAAAGGAGATCAAAACCAAACCAAACACTTAATTTTGAGGAGCTCCTTAGGACCCAGTGAAGCACGGGGTCTGGAGGGGTGTATAACCAGGCTGTGGTTTCCTGATGAGGAGTCTGCCCAGGGGTGGGTGGGGCGTCCAAGGTGATGGCGGCCACACGTGGGACATGCTCCCTCCGGGCTCAGCAGCCTGCTGTCGGGGCCACAAGCCAGACACCTGTGCTCACACGAGGCCATTGGACACATGCACGATGTCCTCATCAACTGGACACTCGGCCTTAGTCTCTATTTTACGGGGAGAACTGCAGGCGAACTTGTTGGGCGTGCCCTCCCCGGCCATGGTCATGGCGGCTCCGAGCTCCACCTTCCCCCAGCTCCACCGGGGCTGCTCCTGACCTTGCCTGCTGTCTGTCTTGCGTTTGCAGTGCCGGACGGCCACGGACGGTCAGCGGGGGCTCTGTTGGTGTGTCTACCCCTGGAGCGGGGAGAGGATCCCGGGATCTGTGGAGGTCAGAGGCGACCCCAACTGCAATCAATATTTTGCCATGCACAGCTGAGAGCACGTGCCCTGTCATCTGTCCCTTCACAGGAAGTATTTAAGTACATAGCATATTTATAGTCCAGAAATCATGCACACCTATCTATATATATATGTATATGTGTGGGAACCACTTTTATACGCCACATGCTCGTGGACACATAAATCTGTAGTTTATTTATTCACTGTACATGTATTTTTTCAACACAGTCCCTGTGCTCTGTTACTTTGTAAATCATGAAACCTGTCACGTCGCACTGGGTGTAAATACTTGATTGCAGTTCCTCAAAGTTCCCTGCTTCTGGTTCTAAAGAGCTGGGGGTGGGGAAATAAAGCCTGGAAAATGCAAACCTGAAATGTGTAGCAGGTGCTTTTTTTTCTCAAGTGACTTAACAGGATGCTGAAGAAGGACTCCCTCTGCAGCCAGAGATCCGAGTCTGTGTAAACGCGCAGGGAGAGTCGGGGGGGATGACGGGACCAGAGTGGGACGTGGCCACGTTGCTCCGAGTTCCGGTCAAGTTGGCCATGTTGTCCGACACACCTGCACAGTGCAGACGTAGTGCAAAAAAATGTTCCACCTGGGGGCACTGTGGCTGCCGTGAACGTGGACTGAATGTTCCCTCCTTGTCTCTGAGATCCCTCTCATGCACCCCCTTCTCACGCAGCTGTGGTGTTTCAGGCTCCCAGGCCTGCTGCTGGCAGGTCTGCTCTTCCCCCTACCCCTACTCCCCCAACCTGGGTCCTAGCCTCTGATGACTCATCCCTTCTCTGCCTCTGTGAACAGGATCTTAAATGCGGGACACAAGCACTTCCTTCACTTGCCCCTCACCCTCTCCTGCCTCTGTCCTCGGCAGGGCTCGACGGTCTGTAGGTGGGCACCTGCTTGCCCCTTCTGTTTGGATGGCTGAGCCCTGAGTGCATGGGGCTTCTCTGCTCCTTGGATCCCTTATTCCTTCAACTATTCCTTGTTTGCTCTTCTGGAGGCAGCCCTGCTGACTGTTCCTTCCACATTTCTCCAGGGATGGATATCTTATCCATCCCAGTGGGTCCCACCTGGCCTCTTGGCTGCCTCCACCCCATCTCCTGGGGGCCCCCTACCTTGGCTGTGGGAAAAGCCAGAGTCTCCCCATCTCACATCCCCCTCACTCTCCATGGTCTGGGCTCCAGCTCCCCATCCTGGGTCTCTCCTTTCACCCTCTGACCCGTGGCTGCCGTCCCCCCTCTGCCAAGCCCCCAGGAGTGGCCTGTGAGCTCAACATCCAATATTATAATATCTTAAGACTATGGACACAAACTCTTCAACAAAATACTAGTAAACTGAATCCAGCAGCATATTAAAATAATCATTCATTGGGCGCCTGGGTGGCTCAGTCGGTTAAGTATCCAACTCTTGGTTTCGGTTCAGGTTGTGATCTCAGGGTTGTGAGATCGAGCCCTGTGACAGGCTCCATGTTGAGCTTGGAGTCTGCTTAAGATTCTCTCTTTCCCGGGCGCCTGGGTGGCTCAGTTGGTTAAGTGACTGCCTTCGGCTCAGGTCATGATCCTGGAGTCCCTGGATCGAGTCCCACATCGGGCTCCCTGCTCGGCAGGGAGTCTGCTTCTCCCTCTGACCCTCCCCCCTCTCATGTGCTTGCTCTCTCTCATTCTCTCTCAAATAATAAAAAAAAAATCTTTAAGATTCTCTCTTTCCCTCTGCTTGTCCCCCACTCATGTGTGCATGCTTGCTCTCTCTTTCTCTCTTAAAAAAAAAAAGTCAATCACTATGACCAAGTGGGATTTATCTCAGGAATGCAAGGTTGTTCCAACACCCTAACATAAATTAATGTAATAAATCACATCAATAGAATAAAAACCTAAAAATCACATGGTCATCTCAAGAGACTCAGAAAAAGCATTTGATAATATCCAATACCCTTTCATGGTAAAAAACAAAAACAAAAACAAATCTCAACAGACTAGGAATAGAAAGAACTTCCTCAAGCTGACTAAAGGGATCTAGGAAAATCCCACAGCTGACAATGTAGTTAATGGGGAAAGTCTGTGTGCCTCTCCCCTTCCCTCTGCAGATGGGGAAAGAAGACAAGGATGTCTGCTCCCACCACTTCTTTTCAACATTGTACTGGAGGTTCTATCAGTTAGGCAAGAAAAAAAATAAATGGCATTCACATAAAGGAAAAGTAGAACTACCTCTTTTTGAAGATGGTCTGATCTTACATATAGAAAATCCTAGGCAATCCACTAAAAGACTATTCAATGAGTTTAGCAAGGTTGCAGGATACAAGAGCAATATAAAAAATCAATTCTATTTCTATATGTTTACTTCATTCAACCTAAAAAGAAAATTAAGAAAATAACTTCTCTCATTTTTTAGCATTAAAAAATATAAAATACTTGGTAATACACTTAACAAAAGAAGTACAAAATAAAAACTACAAAATATTGTTGAAAGAAATTAAAGGAGATCTAAATAAATGGAAAACATACCATGTTCATGGAACAGAAGGCCTGACATTGTCAACATTAAACACCCTAAACTAACCCACAGATTAAACACAATCCTTTTCAGAATCTTAGCTGACTTCTCTGTAGAAACTGACATGCTGACTTTAAATTTCCTACAAAACTACAAGGGGTCTAGAATAGCCCAGACAATCCTGAAAAAGAACAAAGTAGAAGGACTCACACTTCCTGACTGCAAAACTTATTACAAAGCAATGGTAATCAAACAGTGTGTTACTGGAGTAAGGCTAGACATATAGATCAATGGAATAGAATCAAAAGGCCATTAATAAACCCATACATTGCTGATCAGTTGATTTTCAACGAGGGTTGGAAGGCCATTTAATGAGGATAAAGTTCTTTTTCAACAAATGGGGCTGGGAAAACTGGATAGTCACATGTAAAAGAATGAAATTGGACCCCTACCTCACACTATAAAAAAAGATTAAATCAAGGGGCGCTTGGGTGGCTCAGTTGGTTGGGCGACTGCCTTCGGCTCAGGTCATGATCCTGGAGTCCCGGGGTCGAGTCCCGCATCGGGCTCCCTGCTCGGCGGGGGGTCTGCTTCTCCCTCTGACCCTCCCCCCTCTCATGTGCTCTCTCTTTCTCTCTCAAATAAATAAATAAAATCTTGGGGTACCTGGGTGGCTCAGTTGGTTGGGCCACTGCCTTCGCTCGGGTCATGATCCTGGAGTCCCGGGGTCGAGTCCCGCATCGGGCTCCCTGCTCGGCAGGGGGTCTGCTTCTCCCTCTGACCCTCCCCCCTCTCATGTGCTCTCTCTTTCTCTCTCAAATAAATAAATAAAATCTTGGGGTACCTGGGTGGCTCAGTTGGTTGGGCCACTGCCTTCGCTCGGGTCGTGATCCTGGAGTCCCGGGGTCGAGTCCCGCATCGGGCTCCCTGCTCCGCAGGGAGTCTGCTTCTCCCTCTGACCCTC